GCCTCTGATGCCGCCCCGGCTTTAAACGAGGTACCCCTGAGATGAGAGGCCGCCAGAGTGTCTACGCAAGTAGCATCCCACACTAGGGCTTTACCTCTCTCCCAAGGCACCAATGTCATACCGTCGGGTCTCTTGCCATCGTCTCTAAATATTCCACAAGGCTCTAAAACCGAGGGAACATTTATAGAGGCAAGAGCCCTTCGGATGACATCGTTCAAAGAACTGTGTCGTGAAAACCTAAAGCTTAAATAAACCTTAACCTAAACCTTATCTTAAATCAATATATATGTAAATATAATTAAAGTATCTTATTGTAATATCGCAATACGTTTTTATACGTGGTAGAGCCATGCTGCAACTATACTATGGTTGTAGCACAAATAGGTCGGCTCGACCGGGGAAGGACCACGCTCTCACAGAATACCATCGTAAAATAGCAGCTTAATGCTGCCGTACGGTGAGTGTAGAGAACCGGAGAGCATTTTTACTGGAAACGAGGCATTCCATCTTAGTCCTCACGGGTGACAACGCATCTGTATTTTGATTCGTAATCGAAGATAGATGTAGATGTCTATGGGCCACAGCAACCACTTACCATCAGGTGGACTGTGTGCTCGTTTGTCACCCTTATCCTATAAAAAAAATCAGCTTGTAGAAGTTTACAGCTGGACATGAGTTTCTTCCATTGTGTAGCGTGTACAGTATTTGTTTGCCAGGCGTATCGACGAACACAGTAACAGACCTCTTATATCTTCAAAGCTGCTGCAGCGACCGTCTGGGTATTTTTTTATAGAATAAATGTGACAAATGAGTATTATATTGGGTTGAAGGGGATATCTGATTGATATTAAGATATGAATGACCATTTTTGTAAATCTTTGTCTGTCTGTCTGCTTGTGCCCGGGCTAATCGTCGAAATGGCTGAACAGATTATGGTGAAGCTTCATGAGTTTGAGCATTTGGCCATTAGAGTTTTATTAAGTATAGTAGTAAAAGACTATAGATGTTCACCCTTGGACCTGCAGTAATATTACAGTGGCTATATATTTACACAATAGGATTTATAATGTACTCGCTGTTCCTGGCGACTTCGCCCGCGTGTTATTTGGGGTTTTCAATTTTTTTTGCGCGGAACCTTAACTCTTTTTCTAAAATAATAGTAGCCTAAGTTACTCCTTATGACATCAGCTATCTGCTAATGAAAGTCCCATCAAAATCGGTCAAGCCGTTTCGGAGATTAGCCGGAACAAACAGACAGACAGACAGACAAAAATGTTAAAAATTGTATTTTTGTTATAAGTACCGTATAAACTTTCATATGCATTTAGTAAAATGTTGTAATTTTGACATTACAAACAGACACTTCAATTTTATTTATTTGTATATTTTATAACTTTTATTTATTCACATTATTTTCGAGTTCATAACCTAAATAGTTTACCTGAATTATAAATTTTCATTGCGTTTACCGGAAAAGTAATATGGCAAAGTGAACGGAAAATAATGTGATAAAAGAGTACAGGTGAAATATAAGTACACGTATTTGAATTAAATTGCGCCACATTCAAAGTAAATAAAATTTTCATCACGTCTATTCCAGGTCACATACAAATGTGTTTATTTGAGCTACATACTGAAAAGTATAATGAGAAATTGAGATGAAATACGAGTATATGACAGAGTTTATTTACCTTTGATGAATATATTTACTTAAGACGGCTCGGTAGTTTAGAGGCCTACGAAAGCCTTATTGTTCAAAGATGTTAGATCGCTGGTTCGAACCACGCATCCATGTGTAATTTATGTATATAAAACGTCTCCGCGATACAGGAGAAAATCTTAGTGTGCTAGTAAACATTTTTTTAGAAAAAATTATCTCTCTCGTGTATAGAAGTGTTCATAAAATGTAACAACTTGTTAATACAATTTTATACGTTCAAATAAATCCTCTAGACTACCGTGATGGATAGGCTGTTGGATTTTAAATATTTTTTTGCTTCATCACATCAGTCTTATAGAAGTGAAGAACCGCCTTAATATATCAAACTTATTGTTTGTTTGTTCGTATTTCATGCGCTTCCATACCATTGATCACATCATGGTAAAGCTTTGTCAACATATTGCTTGCACTAGCGCGACGGTTATAGGCATAGTACAATTAACTTTCAGTAGGTGATCTGCTTATTATCGTACCGACAAATTTATTTGAAAGACATTTAACATTCAATTTCAATGAATGTATTATCATTAAATGAAACTAATTTTAAAGGATTTTATCACGTTTAATTGAACTTTTTAATTCCCGCCGTTTCAAGTGCTTTATAGCACCCATAGTCAGGGGGGGGGGGGGGGGCTGAGGTGTTTGACGTCCCGATATCATAGCCCGGCTACCTTCAGTTTTTGAATATTAATTTTTGGTCTGATCTATGCAGAATTAGCTTATAGTAACTTGAAATCTTGCAGTGGTATGCTTGGGTGTGGATTTAATTTTATTAATTATAGGATCCCAAGCAGATCCCAAGCAGATGGCAGCACCCATCCATCTTCTCTATTGAAATTAGGATGTTTTTTAATTTCAATAGCCTCGAGAATCATCCTTTTTAGGAATCGGTGTTCTTTTGCGAGGATTTGTGGTCTATCAGATCTAATGTAAAGGCGGGGACGATCTTGAACATGTTCACACGCTTCAAGTCATCTATATGCTGACTTGAAGCACCGACATTCTTTCACGCGGGTTTTTATAGATCTTTTTGTCTGTTTTATGTAAGAGAGACCACATTCACAATCCAGCTTGTACACTCCTGCATCTTGTAGAGGGATATGTCACTTGACGGATGGTAAGAACTGACTAATCTTCTTCGGCGGCTTGAAGTATGTTTTAATGGAAGCTCGCTTCAAGATGTAGCCAACCTTATCTCTGACTCCTCTGACATAGTATTTTGCGTAAATATAAGAAATCAGAATGTATTATTATTCCTAATTAAACAATATAATTCTTCTAAATTTAAAACGATATTTCCACAAATATTTCTTCTACGGCAGCAATGCCCGTAGCTAGTAAATAAATAGAACATTACATTGAAAGCTATCTAAGTTTTTTTTTTTATTGGGAACGTTAATAGTTAAAGGTAGACGTGACGTGATTGTGTTTAGCCATGGTTCAGTTGGTAGGCTCCTTACCTGCCTAGGAGATCATCTGAGTAGGTACCACTCTCTTACCAATCATCGTCGCCAAATAGCAATTTCTGGTGTGAAGGAGTTAGTATAATAACAGGCTGTGAAGCTTTCCATCACATTCCTTACATTTGATTGGCCGCAGGTAACCATGAACTGTAGGAGCCACTTACCATGAGGACTGAAGGTTCGTTTGTCACTTCAGTTTTATAAAAAATAATTTAAAATTAAAAATGTTGTACAACCGACTTCAATATAAATTATTAAGAATAACTCAAAAACTATTGGTCAGATCTTATGGGGACCACATGTGAAGCTTTGTGAAGTTATAATATTAAACATGAAACTGTAACGATCTTTAAATTTATTTGGTTATTTATAAAGAAAATAAGAAATATAAACATGTAACAAATGATTTTTCTTAAAGCGAAACACGGTTGTAAGAATATTTAAAGGTCAACCTACCTTCGTTTAGTGTTAGCTTTAAAGTTGGCACAGTTAAAATGTTAAAGATTTCAAAGCTTGCAGATTGCAATGCGCCATACTGGCGCGCTATGTTTATTTTTAAAACCGAGTTCTTCATAGTTTTAGGTTAGCCTTACTAGTTGCTTTGATAACAATGAACTTGAAGCACTAAGTCAAACGTCGGTATTATTTTGTTTGTGGTAAGTGGCGACGAAGTCCTTAATGGAATATCGCACTGTCTTGGCGTAGCAAAAGCCTAGTTTTTAATCGATTTCAAAAAAGGAGGAAGTTATAAATTCGACTGTATTTTTCTACCGACTTCAAAAAGGAGACGGTACTCAATTCGACTGTATGTTCTTATAAATTTGATCAAGGTCTAACCAATAGTTTTTGAGTTATTCTTAATAATTTAAATTGAAGTTGGTTGTACAAAATTTTTAATTTTAAATTACTCGTATTTTGTGTGTTACCTCAGAACTTTTTCTACGTGACCAGATTTTGATGATTCTTTCTTTATTTGAAAGCTGGTGCTTCTTATGAAATCCCATTATAAATTTGATCAAGATATAACGAATTTTATTTTTGATTTATCTTTAATAATGTTTATTTAATTGACTTCGACTACATTGATGATGATCTCATTTCATTTATATTGAAGTCAGTTGTACAATTTTTTCTCAATTTTACCTTGCCCGATTGTAAGCGGACAGAAATATGTTAACTCCTTTGCTGTATGCATTACGAAAGGCGAAGCAAACTATTTTTTTTGTGATGATAATTACCAATTTTTATTACTATTACATGGCTATTAAAACATTATTCTACATTTTGAACACGGCGACTCGGGTTCACTTACTACTGAAGTTTAAAAAAAACACCACAAACAATCAATCGTAATATTTATTAACTAGCTGTTCCCCACGACTTCGCCCGCTTGGAATTTACTACGATTTCATGGGTTTTAATTTTTTTGCGCGGAACCCTAATTCTTTTCCTGTAATAAAAGTAGCCTAAGTTACTCCTTATGACATCAGATATCTGCCAGTGAAAATCTTGTCAAAATTGGTCCAGCCGTTTCGGAGATTAGCCGGAACAAACATACAGACAGACTGACATACAGACTTTTTAAAACTTTAAAAATTGTATTTTTGTTATTAGTACCGTATATACTTTCATTTGCATTGCAGTAAAAAGCTGTTATTTTGACATTACAAACAGACACTTCAATTTTATTTATTTGTATAGATGTATGTATGTTTTGTACGTAGTCGAGCTATGCTACAGCTACATATATTGTTATTGTATGAGTGGATCGGTTCCGCTGTTGTGTTTTGGATGGACTTTTTAAGAAAAGAAAAGAAAAGAAAAGAAAACTTTATTTGACATCACAAAGAAAAAAAAAATAAAATAACACGAGATATAAAAAACAGGGTTTTTGTAAAGTCAAATTAGGTCCCTATTTCAGCTAACAGCTGCTGAACTAGATGACAGCAGCGCTGGTTTTCAAATAGAGCCTAATATTGGCTTCACGGACGGTCATACATTACCTAAAGCTAAAACTAATTAAAATTAGATCAAAATATTCAGTGTGGGGACAGAATCAGCATAATAAGAGTTATTATTTGGAAATAATAATACATTGTTTAAGCAATCATAAACATACAATTACATATGAACCCATATATATCTATACATCCATACACACATGTACACATACATGATCAAGTGCTCAACAACTCAACAACATGAAATATATCGTCTAATCTTAATAAAATAAACATTTGAATTTAATTGAACACTAAGAAGATTTAACAACACCATCAACGAAAAGAAACGAAAAGAAACGAAAACAGAAAGTGATCTGAAAATTAGTGTGGAGATAAAAAATAAATAAATACAGTGAATCTTACAGTCATCATATCTTTTTAGTATTAAATGGAGGCCCTTTAAATTGTATACGTAAAAAAAGTAAATTTTTATTTATTATTTGTGATTACAGTCTTGTTTTAAAATTAATATCAGTTTTTTTTTAAATATTCCTATAGTTTTTAGAGCACGTATTGGTGGCGGCAGATCGTTCCAGCAACGAGAAGCTGCATACCTGAAGGACCCTCTAAATGCCATTGTTCTATGTTTCGGAATAACAAAGACCTTAGTACATTTACGTTTAGGATATTTTGATTGTTCGCTAACCCACACTAATTTGTCATATAAGTACCGAGGAGTTTTTAATGCAATTATTCCAAATAATAGGGTAGCAAGGTGTAATTTTCGACGCGATGACATTTTTAATAGACCTGCATTATTTAGAAAAGGAGTAACATGCGTACGAGGTGGTATGTGGAAGCAGAACCTCGCACATGCATTCTGCACACGCTGTATGAGCCTCTGAGTCCTACTTAATAGACAAGGTCCAAATACCACATCGCAGTAATTTAATTTGGACAAAATCAAAGATTCGCATAGTCTTATCCTCATTTGCTCTGTTAAGAATGGTCTGATTTTATATAAGATTTTTAATCTATAAAAACAGCTTCGTACACTTTCTCTGACATGTGCTTCGAAACGCAGATGGTTATCAAGCTTAAGCCCAAGGCTTCTAGCCTCGGAGATTTGATCAATAGAACTGTTTCCAATTTTTAAATCTATTGGGACATTTACAAGTTTAGCAATCATATTTTTTGATCCTATTAACATAAACTTTGACTTGTCAGGGTTTAGAACCAATGAATTTAACTTTGACCAATCAGAAATAGCGTCTAAATCGTTATTTATTTTATTAATAGCCTGAAGAAGACCTGATGGCGATGGTATAAAGGAAAGGTACATTTGTAGGTCATCAGCATATAGGTGGTAATGACAGTGTTTAATTTTCTTTACGATATCAGCAGAATATAGCGTGAAAAGAACAGGCCCAAGTATCGAGCCCTGTGGAACACCTCGTGTAACATTCTGGGGGATTGATTGAATCCTAGTACCGTCACTTGTAATGATTTCCACACGTTGTTGCCTTCCAGTGAGATAACTGCCAAACCATTTGACCGCATTAGCATCAAAGCCATAGAATGACAACTTTGCCAGGAGCAATGACTGATCGATTGAATCAAACGCTCGGGAGAAGTCTAAGAGCACCAGAATTGAGCACATACCTCTATCTTGAGCTGCAAGTAGATTATCGATTACCTCAAGCAAAGCTGTAGTAGTGCTGTGGCCCTTGCGAAATCCAGATTGCATAACAGGCAGTACGCCATTGATTTCAAGGTATTCTGTCATCTGCTTGCAAACTACCTTTTCTAGTATTTTAGAAATACAGGGCAATATACTAATAGGTCGCAGATCTTTAATCGAAAGAGGATTCATCTTCTTTGGCAAAGGCTTGACAATTGCGAGTTTCCATAAATCTGGAAAAACCGCACTCTGGATCGATTTATTAATAATAGCGGTAATTGTCATTAATGATTGGGGTAGAGTCATTAAAAGCATCTGTAGGGAGATATTGTCTATACCAACGGCATTGGATTTAAGTTCTTTAATAGTATTTAATATTAATTCTTCTGCTACTGTAGACAAAGTAAGATTACTAGAATTGTGCCTATTGTGTTTAAAGTAGGAAGTATAAGTAATTGGTACCGGGTCATCCCCTGGTATATTTAGGAAATGTCTATTTATCAAATCTGGGTCATTGAACTGATGAGGAAGTTCCTCAGTCTTATTCTTGAAATATACTACATTTTTCAAATTTTTCCACAGGGTTTTGGAGTCCTTAATATTTTTATTTATGTACTGTTCAAAATACGCTTTTTTTTCATTTGTCATAGCTTCTGTTACTATCTGCTTCATGTTTTTATAACAATTTTTAAATGTGTTATTTTTTGTTTTTTTGTATTTAGCATGATAGTCGTCGCGAATTTTGATCATTTTCCGTACTGTATCCGTAATCCAAGGGTGAGGTGGTGACTTGAAACGAGTGGTTTTAAGTGGAGCATGTAGATCGAAGAGAATGTTTGTAACAGAACAAAAATAATTAACCATGTCATTAACGTCATTAAAATTTGTACATAGTGACCAATTAATGTTCTCTAAATCACGGATAAATAATTCTGTAACAATATTATTTAGTGGTCTATATGTAAAGTAACGAGGAATAGGTTTTTCCTTTTTTATATTAAATTCAGCAGTAACAATGGCATGGCTTCCCAAATCGGGTATGTATTTGACTAGGGTATTTCGTACTCGAGCATCAGAACAGATCAAATCTATTAATGTTTCGCTGTGGCTAGTAAAATGTGTCGGAGTATCAACAACTTGTTTCAAGCTATGACATTCTAAAAATTGGTTTAGTAATATGGTCTTGTTGTTTCCACTCTCCAAAAGATTAATGTTAAAATCACCAACTAAGATAACCTTATCGGCGTTACCTAAAGTGGAGACTGATTCAGCTATCGCATCTAAAAAAATATTAACGTCTAGCCAAGGGGGTCTATATGCTGTCCCAACGATAAGGTTGACTCCTGAAAAATTCATTTTTATCCACATCTGTTCAACAGTAGGAGTAGAAGGATGCGGACAAATTTTAAATGCTAAATTTTTATGTACATAAAAGCCTACTCCACCGCCTCTTCCTTTTTTAATTTGCTGAGGCCTAGGATTATGTCGCAAACGATATTCATCCAGTATGGGAGCTTTCCCCTCTTCCCCGGCTCTAAGCCATGTCTCATTGATGGCCATAATGTCCGGCTTAAGCTCTTTCATGGCTATTATAAATTCCTCATGCTTAGAACCTAAGGAGCCTGCGTTTAACAAACCGATTTTTAAGTATTTTAAATTACCCGTTGCAAATAGTATATGAGCAGATTATTCTTTATGATAAAAACTAGTAAATAATCAGCATATGTGTTATAAATAGATACGGATGTTAAGTTCGGTAACAAACATATTAATGATGTATACATTCTACCGTGCAGTAGTATGGCGTAGTCATAATTACAAATAAATAAATAATATACATAAAATAATGGATGTTTTATAAAGTTAATATATATAATATGATATAATGAGTAAAAATAATATTTATAATATAATGGCTGTATATATTGTTTCAAATAAAGTTTCCCCACATAGTTGAGATAAAGAAGTATATAGTACACTATCTTCCTAATATTATAATTTGGTATAAAATATATATTTAACTTTATTTCTAAATTATGATGAGACATTACTTCAAACCTTATCGGAACCAAAAATACGAATAAAGTCATCCTCCGTACGAATGTAGCAGGCCGGCTTCCCTTCACCTTGGCGGGCGTATATGCGACCTCTCTTTGTCCACGAGTAACGCCACGAGAATCTACGGCACGCCTCACGGACTTTGTGGAAGAGCTGTCTGTTGTATCGGGTTAGCCGTTCGTTAACGTAAAGTCGGTGTGGCGGGGCGGCCGCGCCTAGTTCAGAGGTTGTGACGGAGCGACGCACACGCGCAGCGCGCAGCAGCTCGTCACGCAGCTGGCGGCGCGCCAGCCGCACCACGACGCGGCGGCCGCGCGGCGCAACGCCACCGGGCGACCCGCCGCTCACCACCGCTTGCACCGCTCCGATGCGCTCCGCAAACACTATGTCTCGCTCCTCTAATGGCACACCTAGCCTAACCGCAAGCACGGACACTGTGTGAATGATATTTTCACCCTTTTCTTCCGGTAGATGCCCGATCTCCAGATCTGTGAGCAGCGCCTCTTGGTCCCGATCGTTGAGCTCCAGCTTCAATAAGTTCACCGTTCGCTCCAGTTCGGCAACCTCAACTCCGGTTGGTTTCTGCCTTTGCTCAATTATCTCAAGCCTACGCTCGATGCCATCCATACGCTCACTAAACCCTAATACGGACGCACGAAGTTCACCAATCTCCTTTCGGAGTTCTCGCATCTCAGCTGTGCAGGTAACGAGCTGGCGACTTAGCTCTTGTGCAATAGATTCCTCGCCCGATTTGATGTCTAATGTCTGAGACAAACTGCTGCAGGGTGAGCTAATAGTGACCTCCCGGGGCACATTATCTTGTGATATGTTACCAGATATCCCTCTTACAGGAGTAGAACTATTGTCTCCTTTTCGTGATTTTTTTTTGCATTCTGGGCAAGCCCAATCTTTGCTTATATTTGTTGTTTCAGATACTAATAGACATCCACGATGAAACATAATGGGACAAACGGTACAAGCAACGGCACCTGTCGACGTTAGAAATTTACCACATGCTCCACACTTTGGCATATTGCGCTTAGTGGCTGTTAATACTATTGTGCAGAAGATGGCGCTAACTAAACTCGGCAACTAGTTGCTGACAATGCTACTATGCAATCAGAGATCCGTATAAGTGTACCCTCTTCTGGGCTTAAAATATCAGAGATCTTCTAGATTAGATTAGGTTAAAAATTACTTACAATTTTATAGGTAACAACACCATAACACTCACACGGCAAAGTTATGTACTATTTCACTCGTATATAATATTAATATACCGATACAAACTTTATTTCTATTTTTTCGAATTAAAAATCTAAGCAACCTCTGTTGTTCGTATACCGTCCGTGACGTCAATCCCCTCAATCAATCAATCAATTTTTCTTATCTTGCCATGAAAGAAATATTATTTTATTTCAAATGACGCTTCATTTTAATAGAATTTTATCAATAATAATATACTACGCAAGGAACTTCGTTCCAACCGAGTGTTTCACGACACTCACAAATTTTTATTTTATTATAGTTTTTGAAAATAATTGGTTAGATGGACAGATACTTTCGAGTATCATGTAAAATTTCAAGTAGTAAAATCAGAATACTGCGTAATTTCATTCTATAATTAGGCATACAAACCACAAACGTATTACAGTGAAGGTGACATTGAAGTTAATTTTAGAAAATCTTATTGTGGTTATTAAGCGTCACCCTAGTTCTGATATTTACTTGGTACCAACTATTATAAAATAAAAAATACACCTAATATTTTTTATTTTATACTAGTTGGTACCCGGCGCCTTGCTGCCGCAGAAGAAATATTTGTAGAAATATCGTTTTTAATTTGGAAAATTTATATTGTTTAATTAAGAATAATAATACATCCATTGAAATTGAATGATATATAACTTTCAAATAAATTTGTCTCACCACCTATTGTAAGTTAATTGTATGTCTATGTCTATAATTCTATAACTATCTATGTCGCAGTAAAATAGTTAAAGTCGTGATATATTTATGTCCTTAAGAATATAGCTATATACCGGTTCATAACTATCTTACTAGACTAATCTGGTAAAATAATTATAATTGTAAACTGAATGTACAGGAGGAACAAATTTCGCGACATTGACGTTTCTGTTGTGTTTTTGTTCACAGTAGGTAAAGGTGCGGCTGGGGTCACCTAAAGCCGCGCACCTTATAACGATATAAAATGAAATATTGAAAGAATTTTACTTTTAATTGCAAAAATTCAAAAAGTAGTTTTGACGAACAAAATAAGTAAGATAATTATGAACGTAATTATGAAAGTAAGATAGTTATGAACCACTTTCATATCACTATATTACAGTATACAGCTATATCCCTAGGGATATAACTATATCACGGCATTAACCATTGAGTTATACAAGACATAATACACACATATATAACAAGTGTAACATATAAATCAATGGCATTAACTATCATACTACGACATCTATAACCTTTGCTCAAGTGCAAGCAATAAGTTGACAAAGTTTTACTGCAATCTGATGAACGGTATGGCAGTGCATAAAATACGAACAAACAAACAAACATTAATTTGAATCTATTAGATTTGAGAAATATTTATATTTATAAAATAGGTATTTTAAGGTATAAATAAAAGTTTTACCATCGTTCGTTTTTTCGTATACCATCAACAATATACATTTAACTCTTATACTCACAATAAGTCATAGTAAATAATAATGACTGGCCTGTTGGTCTAGTGGTTAGTGACCCTGACTGCTACGCCGGAGGTCGTGGGTTCGATTCCCACCCAGGACAAATGTTTGTGTGATGAGCACGATCATTTGTTCTGTGTCTGGGTGTAATTTATCTATAATATTTATGTATTTAGAAATATATAAGTATGTTTATCAGTTGTCTAGTACCCATAACACAAGCTCTGCTTAGCTTGGGACTAGATGGCGTTGTTTGATTGTTGTGGAATATTATTATTATTAATAATAATAATAATAATAACTGACGTAACGGTTATGTGACAAAACTGCTACGTCAGCGCAGTCAGTCAGCACCTTGCCAAGAGGTGTTAGCGCCGTGCCTCGGCAAAATTGGAGGTGCAAAGGCCCGATTGTGCACATGGCCTCACCATGAAACGGTGCCGGGTCTGGGCGTCTCCCGTTAACTGACGCCCAAGTAATGGATGATGGAACTAAGAAATACGCGCAAAGGGCCGCTGCCTGGAGGTCGCCAGGGCGCGTCTGGAGCTGGCGCTGGACGCGGCAGCATGCGAACCGCCAGTCGAGCGCGAGGTGCTGCACGATCACCCAGCAGCCCCTCGCATCCATCATCCCCACCAGCTGGCTTGGTGTTGGCAGGGTCTTCGTTGGCCCAGCAATCAGCACCCGCCACTGGTGGAGTACGCCGCATGCGTTGGTCAATGCAAATGAATAAAAATGCATTGCGGGCGTATTTTGGGGCGAAAGGGAGAGAAATTGGAGGTTTTGGGTATCGGGCTAGGATGCACCGACTATTTGCTGAGCTGGAGCCATCTATTACCGTTACCGAGCAAAATCTGGCAGACCGAGTTCGGTACATCATGCGCTCAAAAATATTTGATGACGCCGAACTCGAACGGCTACGACGTGAGGCTGTTCCTTTGTCGAATGAAAATGCTACGACAGGAGATGCGGCTCTACGAGTTGCAGAGCAACCCGCACATGTAGATGCCGCCGTTGATCTCCTTGTAGTTGACTCAGGCGACGATGGAATAGTCGCCCCAGAACTAGAGCAAATGAGGAGCATAGTGGAAGAGGCGATTAGGGAAACGCGCAGTACGCCTCTCGAGAATCGACCGCGACTTCCCCGTATACCCCTAAGCAAGCGGAATCGGGCTGTCGTGAGGGCTCTCAACCCAATGCTGGTGACCTATTTGGAAGCCAGCCGGGACCTTTGCGAGACGGACTCAATTCTTTTTGGCGCCGCACTGGCAGTTTGCCGTATTATTGGCGCCAAACTTCCCAAGGCTGGACGCGCTACTAGACAAAGTAGCGCCATCCCAGCCTGGAGAAGAAGAATTGAGGACCGTATCGCAAAGGCAAGGGCCCTCATCGGCAGGCTGATAAGCTTCAGGTCGGGCAATAATAGGCCGAGAATTGTGCGCACCGTCAGGATGGCGTTTGCTGGGACAAACATCAGTTTGTCCCAGCCGGATATAACGCAAAAACTGACGGAGCGCATAGACGACCTGAAGCAGAGAATCGCTGCTTGGGGGAAGCGGATTCGGCGATATACCGAGAGGTCAACACGGTTCAACCAGAATCGTCTCTTCCAGAGTGATCAGAAGAGGCTCTATGAATCATTGGAGCGACCAATGGTACGTGGAACGGGCCCAGCACCGAATCAGGCCGACACTATCGCATTCTGGCGCGGCCTGTGGTCAGAGCCCGTAAACCACAGTGAGGGCCCTTGGACGGAAGTTGTGGCGAGTCAGTGTGCGAATGTTACGCCCATGGACCCCGTCATCATTACACCGGATGACGTAGCTGAGGCGGTCCGTAGGGCCCCGAACTGGAAAAGTCCGGGACTCGACGGACTGCATCACTACTGGCTGAAGGGGTTCGTGGTGTGTCACGCTGTTCTCGCCCGACAGTTTCAAGAGGCTCTCGACCAAAAGTCGCTCCCGAGCCTCTTCACTACTGGGATCACTCATCTGGTTCCTAAAGACCGAGATTCCACAGACCCGAGCAAATACCGCCCCATAACGTGTCTACCTACCATATACAAGACACTCACATCCATTTTGAGCGCGAGAATCACTCGTCACCTGAACTCAAATCAGGTGATGTCGCGCGCTCAAAATGGATGTCGGGGCGGTGGTCGTGGAACCAAGGAACCACTCCTCATTGACGCGGTCATTGGCAAAGTGGTTAAACGCAACCGTCGGAACCTCTCCGCCGCCTGGATAGACTACAAAAAGGCATTCGACTCGGTGCCTCATACATGGCTGAAGAGGGTCCTCGAGCTGTACAAGGTTGACTGTACAGTTCGAGACTTCCTCGGGCAGTGTATGGGGCAGTGGAGTACGATCCTTTGTCATCTAGGCGAGCGGATGACGGCTGCGGAGAACCACATAAGGATAAGAAGGGGTATCTTCCAGGGCGATTGTCTGAGTCCAATCTGGTTCTGCCTCTCTCTGAACCCTCTTAGTACCTTACTGGAGGGTTCCGGGAGGGGATTTCAGCTTCGGAGAGGAGGTACAAAAGTGACCCACCTTTTCTATATGGATGATCTCAAGTTATTCGCCTCCAGTCGCTCTCATCTTATGGAATTGCTAAACATCACTTGTGATTTTAGCAATTCTATTAGAATGGAGCTGGGGACGGATAAGTGTGCGATCCTCCATGTCGAAAGGGGTAGGGTTGCTAACTCTGAGGGCATAGACTTATCTATGCCCATCAACATAAAGACCCTATCCGAGGCTGAAACATACCGATACCTGCACCGAACCGATACGAAGTGTGCAGCCTCCGTAATTACTTTCTGACGAGAGCGGATGATCCATTCTATAGGGACGTTATTTCTTGTGATAAAGGACTTACCCCTCTATCCTTAGCCAACGAGCAATGGCAAGACCCGGCAGTACAGAGCATTTCCGACCGGGAGACCGTATGGAAGGAGAAGGAGCTCCACGGGAGGTTCTACAAGGCTCTACATGAGCCTTGCGTAGACACAGTCGCCTCCCTCCACTGGCTACGTTTCGGTGACCTCTTTGGGGAAACCGAGGGTTTTGTCTGTGCGATACAGGATCAGGTTATTAAGACCAACAATTATCGGAGATACATCCTAAAGGATGGCGCCGTCGACATCTGTCGAGCTTGTCGCCATCCCGGTGAGTCACTTAGGCATGTCATCTCCGGTTGTTCGGCGCTTTCTAACTCTGAGTATTTGCACAGACACAACCTAGTAGCCAGGATTCTACACCAGGAGCTCGCTCTGAAATACGGTCTCGTGGATCGGAAACTGCCATATTATAATTACTTGCCGGAAGCCGTGCTCGAAAATGACCGCGCCAGGCTCTACTGGGACCGGGCCATCATCACGGACAGGACTATTCTTGCGAATAAGCCTGATATTGTGCTGATGGACCGGGCACAGTCAAGGATATTTTTGGTCGACATTACCATTCCTTATGACGAGAACCTCGTGAAAGCCGAAACAGATAAGTTGACAAAATATCTGGACCTGGCTCACGAGGTGACCGACATGTGGGGTGGTCTGCCGGCCGAAATTATTCCTGTGGTCGTCTCTGCGAACGGGTTAATCCCAGTCAGCCTCTCGGGTCATCTGAGGCGACTGGGACTCCGTGACGGATCGCTCCAAGCTCAAATGCAGAAGGCGGTGCTCCTCGATACCGCCCGCATCGTCCGCCGGTTTCTTTCCCTTTCTCCCTAACCCTCGGCCGTTTGGTCTCCCCTGCCGAGGGCTTCCATCTGGTTGGGTTTTTATATATTTATGTAATTTTTATGTATTTATTTTATTTTATTGGTATTTATGTAAGTTTATTATTTTCATTTACAATTATATATTTATACAGCCCAA